ACTATGAATGCCAATCTTTGGCCAGCAGTCCTCATCCTGGAAGAGTGCCATTTTGGCAGATGGCCTGGTTTGACAAAACACTGGGTTTCCCGGGCGAAGGACCCCCCTGGTCTATGATCTCCGCCAATGTTGACTCTTTTGCAACAAATGCAAGTTGCTTACAATGGGATGCTGATGCCTTCCTCCTCCAAGAAGCTAGAATTGCGGAGTCCAACATGCTGGATGCCAAACGTAAAGCTGCGGTTTGTCAGTTTGAGCTTTACTGCTCTCAACCATTGCAGAAGCTCCGGGCCAGCAATGGGACGTTCAGAATCCCCTCCGGGGGTACAGCTACTTGTGCCCGCAAGGAATTCACACAAATTTTCCATGACCATCAGGACCTGTCTGGCTCTTGGGAGCTTCTACGATGTACCGCACGAGTTACTGCCACTTGGCACCAGGTCTCCAGCGGGGTCAAGCTCTTGGCTTTCAACTTCTACGCAATTGCGAATGCGGCTTCTGAAAGGGCTAAGTTTGAAAGAAATAACGAGATGCTCCATCAACTTTTCACAGTTGCTGCGCAATTTGGAGACATTCCTATTGTCATAGCGGGAGATTTCCAGATGGAGCCAGGCATGTACCCTGCAGTCCAACTTGCCCTTGACAATTGGGGGTGGTCTGACCCCCTTCTCCAGACTGACGAGGCAGGTGGGCTTTTCCGTCCTCCAACCTTCTTCCAACATGCTGCCACTGAAGAAGGTGAGGGACAGTCATCTATTGACGGCATACTCATGAACAGGACAGCTCTCACTGCATTGGTGAAAATTGAGATCTTAGACTTTCCGGATCGTCAGCACCGGCCAGTACAAGCACACTTTGCTTGGTCACGAACACAACAAATTGGAACGGTACTGCAGAACTTTGCCAAGCTAGATCTCGAACATGTTGTGACCGCCGATACTACAGATCCTGCCTGCCCTGTGAATTTACTTGGAGAACAGCTCTGGCGGCCATACCAGCTCGATTTTGAGACTGCCACCAATCCGGATAGAAAGTGGGAGATTTTCAACGAGTATGCAATCAAGCTCCTGCTTGTCAATGGAGCACAATGGTCTAAAGGCCCACGACAAAGAGGCCAGCTACCCAAATTCCGCAAGCTCAGCTACTGTGCTGCCCAAGAAGGTGCCGGGAATCCTGCCTCGCCACTTCTCCTCCTTCTTCAAGCCTGTCTGAGATCCCTACGTGAATTGGCGTACAGATTCGCAAGATCAACCACTGGACAGGGTGATGCTCGCACCTTCTTCTACACACAACGTCGTGTCCTGCGTAGACTGAAGGAGGCAAGAGTCATTCCTCTCTCGGTGGCTCAGATTTTTCAACATGATCTGCAGCATTTGATTGAAGTTACTTTGGTGGCAATCAACGCTGAACTCAAGCAGATGAAGTTGGGGGCAATTAAAAAATGGCGTGAAGCCATGAAGATGGCCACCTCCTCGCTCTCTATCGGCAAGATTGTCTACCAGTACTTGAAAAGGAAGAGACGTATAGTTCCTCCCAATCTCGTTGAGGATGATCTCGGCAACATCATCTATGACCCGCAAAAGGCTATGGACCACATTGCAGAGAAATGGGACGGTGTATTTTCTGTGAATGCTTCACATCAGCATGAAATGCAGATACTAAAGCAGGTCTGGCCCTACATCCATGATAAAGGTCAGCAAATTGTACTGCCACCTGTTACTGCATTGCAACTGTGGGAACAAGCTTCTCGTCGCCGCCCTGATGCAGCAGCTGGACTGGATGGTTGGGCTACCCGTGAAGTACAGGCCCTTCCACCCTCTGCTCTCAAACCGGTGGCTGATCTTTTCAATGATATTGAAGCAGGGAATTCCGAGTTCCCCACCATTCTCACTCAAGTCAAGATGGTCATCTTCAACAAAGATGGAAGTGATTTGCCATTGTCGAAGAGATTGATTGCCCTCCAGTCCGTTTTCACCCTCTTATACACGGGCCTTCGCTTTTTCCAACTGCAGAGTTGGCAGCAAACGGTGATGCCCATGCAATTGAAGGGAGGGGTTAAGGGTCGCCAGATGGCCGAAGTCCACTCCACCCTTCAGATGGAGATCGACCACGCTCACAGCTTCCACGGCTACTTTGCGGCAGTCAAGCTCGACAAGTCAAAGTGTTTCGACCGCCTAATGCCCAAGCTTTGCGCTGCCATAATGCTGACATTGGGACTGCCGGTTGGATTTGTGCGTGCTTTCATCGCCTTGTACTCCAGAATGACTCGTTTCCTGGCTTTCAAACAATGGACCAGAGCACAACCAATCTCGACAGCCAATGGGGTTGTACAAGGATGTTCCCTCAGTCTTCTCTGTATCAATCTCCATATGGCAATATGGACTTGGATTGTTGGACAAATTCCAGGGGTGGATTTTCGTGCTTTTATCGATGACACATACCTATGGACGAGGGAAGCCAATATTGATAATCTTGTGGCGGCTGTCAAGGCGACGGAATTGTGGGATACTTTGTGTGGCCAGTTCCTCAATGCCGGGAAATGTGAACTGTTCGCAACAAATGGAGAGCAGCGAAGAGCCCTTCGCGTTGCTTTTCCCCAGATGAAACTAGTTGAAGTGGTGAACATCCTTGGGGCCCATGTTCAAACAACGAAGAAGAATGTTGGCCAATTCCCATTGTCCACGTTACAAGGTGCCCTTCGTGATTGTGAGGCCATTCGCTCACTCCCTTGCGACAGCTACAAACGAGCTCAGATACTGGCCACCAAAGTTTTGCCGCAAATTGCATTTGCACCTCAGTTGAACTTCCTGCCCAAAAGACAGCTTGCCAAGCTACAGTGTGCCATAGCAGATGCACTGTGGCAGAATCGGCCAATGTGGCGGTCCAAACATCTGTTGTTGTGCATCATCCACAAGGTTCACAAGCTAGATCCTTTTCTCTGCAGGGCAGTGACAACAGTTATTGAATCCGTTCGCTTCCTTCAGTCATCGCAGCATGCAAGACAGACCTGGCAGCTATTGTTCCAGCAAGATCAACTGACCGCACAATCTTGGTTGACACAGTTTAGCCAAGCATGTCTGATTCTTGACATCAACTGGACCGCTCCCTTTTGCTTCGCTGTATTTGACTCTGAGGAGGTGAACTTCATGGAGTTTTCCATCTCTGACCTCAAATGCCTGTTGAAGAGTTTTGCTGCCAACAAATGCTACCACACAGCTTGTGCCATGCCGCGAAAGGACGTCCGTCAAGCAAGTGGCTTCTTAGACCTTACCATGACCTTGTCAGCGAAAAAGAAGATTGCCAAAGTGCCGAACCAGGGCTTTTCCTTCTTATTTCATTGGGAAAGTGCACTAACAGGTTGCACAGCTACAGCCGATAGAACCTTTGCAGCTGGCTTGGTAGACAAACCTAACTGCCGGTTTTGTGATGCACCAAAGGAATCCGTGCATCACTTTGTGAATGAGTGCTCTCAGCTACCGGAGGAACTCAGGCAGCCGTTTTCCACCACAAATTTTGGGCCGAATTTTGAATGCCTTGGTATTGCTGAGATCCCTTTGGAGAGTATTCGAAGCAAGCTGAAAGTCTCCAAGACCTCGGACATCCAGGTAACACCATGGCGAGAACCGGTGGCTAGCGTTGCGCATGTGTGGACTGATGGTTCGGTGCAGCTCAACCATTATCCTTGGCTTTCCCTTGCTGCTTACTCCGTGGTTGCTGAAAATGAGGAAACGATTGCAGTTGGTACTGTGCAACATTGGCGCCTTTCAAGCTATACTGCCGAGCTATGGGCCATTTTGATTGCCTTTGCCATCGCAGCCCAGCCTCTGATAGTGCATACTGATTCCCTGACTATTGTGCAGCAATTCGCACAATTACTCCAACAGGATTCTGTGCAAGTGAGCTGGACACACGCTAATTGGTGGGGATTTTTACTCGGCTTAATTCATTCTCGCCGTGGCTTTGTTGCATCTCCGCTGCAGTTATTGTGGTGCCCTGCTCATTTGATTGAGCACATACCAAGTGAGATGATAACTGAGGAGGAGGCCGCCGCTCTTGGCTCTACTCGACAAGATATTCGGCTTAATCGTTTGACCGATTCCCTCGCCAAGTCATGCATACACAGAACTGCTTTGAACATAAAGACTGACCTCGTTGTGCACGAACAAGATATTTTTGCAAGGCAGCTCTGGTTATCCAAGTTGAACCGAACTTGTAAGAAACCAGAGGAGGTGGCACCCCCTCAATGAAGTTGTGTGTGAGACCTCCACAGGGTATTCACCTCGCGAGCTGTGTCCCAAATGGTCATGGGACGCTGACATAGCCAACTTTCCCTGGACAAATGAGGCTGACACTGAAGTGCCGTTCCGTGAGAACAAAACTATCTCCGAGCACAATTTTCGCCTTTTCCTGCGCTTTTCGAACACGTTATGCTGGCGGTTAGGTGAAAAGAGGGCTTGTTCTGTCTTTGAATTGGCTGTGTTTGCCTTCATACAGGGGTGGCGCTTTAGCCTTCCACCAGGTGTTTTGTCAACACCACAAGCTTACGCTTGCATCATCCGTGCTTCCATTTCGTACTGCAAGAACAAGAACATCGTTGTTGCACCACTGTTACTCGATAAGAGGAATAAGAGCAACGGACGCACCTTTCTGAAAGGAGCCTTCCTAGGTGCCGAAGCATTTCTTGATAACGCTTCCCTTGAAATGCTATGTAGAGCTTTCATGCGTGGAGCCAAAGAGACTCCACATTCATGGTGCATCCCATTTGATGCCCTGTTGTAAAAACATAGGGAATCCTGACTGCTACAGCGGAAGCTTTGCAGTTGCCGAACGACCCCGTGATGCGGCTTGAGAGCAAAAAAAAGGAAGCTCCCCCCCGCCCCTTCCTTGAAGAAGCGTGAGCTGTCCTGTGTCCTACCTAGAAGCTAACTTTGCCTAGTCCTCAATGACTTAATTCAGTAGGGAGGGGGGAGCGGCGCCCGCCGAGCGCCACCGACGCCGAGGCATCGCCTCGCAGCGCCGGCGGCGGACTTCGCCGCGGGCGGCGCGGGCGGCGCGCTGGGCTTCGCGGTGCAGCTGGGCTTCCAGGCACCGGTGCAACTGCTGGTGGAGGCCCGGTCTGGTGGTCTGGTGGTCTGGGTTTGGATGGATGTAGATAGGGCGGTGGCTGCATTGGCTCTCGTAGCGCTTGTGGTACATGTAGATGGGACAAGTGGATGTCATGATGGTGTGTTTGAAGCTGGCAGCCCTTGTAGATACCAGCTCAAAGAGATTCTTAGCACGATTCCTTACCGCAACGAGAAGCCTAAAGTACAAACGCTTTGGCTTTGCGAAGCTTTGCATATTGCTAGACAAGCCCTAGCACACCTGTTCAATGCTAGCCAACAGTCAGTCCAACCCGTGCAAAAACCATGCAACACACCGCTCTCGACACCGGTCCACAGCTGGATGGTATAAAACCAGCTTCTACTTTGCAAAAGTTGATCATTATTAGCTTCTTGTTCCTAGTAGTACGGCCAAGAGCCCCTAGTAGCGTCCTTGCTCCCAGTAGCGATGCCAAGAGCCCCTAGTAGCTTCTTGCTCCTAGTATTACTCTACAAACAATCTCTAGTGTTTTTGTACTTTTTGTCAGTGGTCCTTGTCATCGCTCCGCTTCGCAGGCCACCGTTGGCCCAAGAACGCTGAAATGCACTCACACCTGGGGCACCCTGGAAGAAAGCGGCCAGTTACGGGATGGCGTCGACATAGAGTGAGTGTACCGCAAGGCTTTTGCGAACGATGGGTAAAAGTACGAGTTCACCAGCAACTGTCGTGCATCTTGTTCCATTCTTTGTAAGAGGTTGGAAGGATTCCGCATTTTTGTTGGTCCATTTGGGGCAGCGGCGCATTGCGGTGGGTTTTGACTCTGCAAGGGCCAGAGCTTTCGATGTGTTGATTTGGTGCAACTTGTTTTGAAGTCTTTGGTAAAGGACAGTACGATCCTAGGCTAATTGTATTGATGCCTGGTAGGTTGACATTGGCGTGGTGTTCTAGAGTTCATCGTGTGCTTATCCTGCTAAATATATGCTGTTGACCATAGAGTCATGGACAAAATTGGCCTTGCAGGACCTCCAAGTCTTCTCCCCAAGCGTGCCAACGCGACTCCTTGATGCAACAGATCCTCAAACTCCAGCTCGCAGAGGAAAACATCCCAAACGTGTCTTGACCGTCTCGAAGAGGCCCGCCAAACTCGTTGCCAGTGCCAGGTGCCGGTGGACACATGAAGCAGTGCAGCCTCTCCAGGACGCCGCAAGCGGCGTGTCCAGGTCACGCCCACGTTACGCCCACGGCGGTCAACGTGGTGGTCAACTCTACTGGATCTTCATGAAGCAAACAACAAGACAGAGAACAACACTACGAACCCTTGGGTCCTTTGGCCGGTGCCGTTTTGGTGTTTTCCTTCGTTTTGATGACTTCGACAGCTCGACACAAGGCTCCAGTAGCTCGAGCCCTTGGGCCCTTGAGCGCATTGCCCCTCGTCCAACGTCCAACGTCCGCCATGGGTCAAGGCACGTCGTCCTCGCCGGACGTGCCGCTCGAGGTGCGCGGCTTGGATGGGCGAAGCGAGGTCGTGCGGCTGCCGCAATGCAAGGGTCTCAGCGGGCTGCAGCTGCAGCAGATGATTTCTGGCCAACTGGGCCTGGCGAAGGCTGGCTGTCGAGTGCTGGTACTCCACGGATCTGAAGTGATTTCCAAGCAGAAGGAGCGACAGCTGCCAGTCATTCGGGCCATGGGTTCCCAAGATCGAACGATATGACATACGGTCAAATGGTCAAACGTGCGTGGTGCATGTGTTGGTTCAGATTCGGTCATTGATGTCATGCGATGGGTGTTAGTGTAGTGCGAGGTGTTTAATGTGGTATTTCATATTGTAATTGTGTGTGTGTGTTGCGTAGACACCTAGACACCTCAAATCCTCCTGCACTGGTTACCCGCCGGTGAAACCACTCTTGGATCACTCAGTCGAACCCGCCCCGCGGCGCCTTCAGCAGCCCGTCGCTCAGGAGCTCTGCGACTTGACGGAGGTGTCGTATCTCTATGAACCCACCAGTTTACAGGACGCCTGGCGAGCTCTATCGTTCTCCTGGACAGCTTCCCGTTTTCGAGCGGACGAGAAGTGCTTTGCCTTGGAGGGACTCACTCGCTTAGAGGGGATTTCGGGGCTCAGTCAGCTGAAGGGACTGCCGCTCAGTCTCGAGAGCCTGGGCTTTGATAAGTATTTCAACCAGACGTTGGAGCGAGCGGCTTTGCCCAAGAATCTCCAGACTCTGACCTTTGGCTTCTACTTTAATCAAAGCCTGGAGAAGGTGAGCTGGCCCGAGAAGCTGCAAGTCTTGACTTTGGGAGATGAATTCAATCAACCCTTGGAGATGGTGAAGTGGCCGAAGAGTCTTAAGACTTTGACCTTTGGCAAGCAGTTCAACAAGAGCTTGGAGCGTGTGGTGCTACCGAGCACCCTGGAAGAGCTGAAGTTTGGCAGGGATTTTAATCAGAGACTCGACAACGTGAGACTGCCTGAGAGTTTGCAAAGCCTGACGTTTGGCTTTAGCTTCGACCAAGCTTTAACCGAAGTGAGCTTTCCCCAGGGCCTAGTGAGTCTGACCTTTGGCTTCTGGAACCAGACAATGGATCAGATGATTTGGCCTACAAGTCTCCAAAGCCTCACATTCGAAGCTGCTTGTGATCAGGAGAGCCAAGCTTTGCTTGCACGAGTTACGCGTGGTTATCGTTTCAACCAGACTTTGGAGCAGGTGACATGGCCGATGAGCCTCCATTGCCTGACCTTGCGCTTTGATTTTAATGAGAGATTGCAAGGAGCAGCTTTGCCTGAGCATCTCCAGAAATTGATGTTCGGCAGTGATTTCAACCAATCTTTACAAGGGCTCACTTTCCCAATGACCTTGAGAAGCCTGACATTTGGCCATCATTTCAATCAGCCCCTCGAGGAAGTGAATTGGCCAGATCACCTAACCTATTTGAGCTTTGGTGAAGAGTTCAACCAACCTTTGGATCAAGTTGCTTGGCCTCATGGCCTCGAAAGTCTCTTTCTGGGCAACTCCTTCAATCAACCTTTGGACCAAGTGGTTTGGCCCAGACGTCTCCGGAGCCTCTCCTTTGGTGCGAAGTTCAACCGGCAGTTGCAAGAGATTCCTTGGCCCAGCCTCGAGAGGTTGTGCCTTGGAAGAGAGTTCAATCAGACGCTCCAGGGCCTCTCTTGGGACAACCTCCGCAGTTTGACGTTGAGCCATCCTTTCGAGGAGGGCTTGGAGCAGGTGACTTGGCCAGTGAACCTTGAAAGTTTGATCCTTGGGGAGGAGTTCAACCAATCTTTGGATGGGATTTCCTTACCCTGCAGCCTCGTGAGTTTGACCTTCGGCTATGAGTTCAACCAGAGTCTGGAGCATGTGAATTTCCCTGACAGCCTCCAAAGCCTGACTTTCGGTTTCTTTTTTAACCAAAGCTTGGCTGGTGTCACTTTACCCCGTCGGCTTCAGAACTTGACTTTTGGTGAACACTTCGATCAGCCCTTGGAGCAGATCACTTGGCCGAGCTTGCAGAAGCTCACCTTTGGCTGCCATTTCAACCAGACTTTGGATCAGGTCTCTTTGCCTGACAGCCTGGAGTCTTTAACCTTTGGCGAAGATTTCACACAGAAGATGGAGCAAGTGCTTTGGCCCAATGGCCTTCAAAGTCTCAGCTTTGCCCATGGCTCCTCGAAAGTAGAACCAATGACTCTGCCAGGAAGCCTGAAACGCTTCCAGTTCGGCCGGCTCCTCATGAGTGCAGAAAGTCAGGAGAAAAAGCAGCCCGGAAAGGATGCACGGATGTCCACCGTGGTGCAACCAACGTGGGGTTCTGGATGATCTTACACGTTGACAGGATCCAACCCTGCAACCTCTGCAAATTAGCATAGGCCATCTACCAGGACCACGGAAAGGGTGCTTATTGGACGGAAAATGCATCGTTTCTTGTGTGTCTATAAACCACCCGAACTCCATGGTGCTGGTACTTTGCCCTCTTCCAAGGGGTCGAACGTCCACCCGGGGAGGATGGACAAACGGGGCTCCTGGCCTTACTAGGAGCGATCGGACGCTACTAGTGGCTCCTGGCCTTACTAGTAGCAAATAGCTACTGGGAGCAAGGAGGAAACAAAAGAGGATTTGACCAATCGAACGGTGGGGATGAAGTCCCTGACTCTATGGAGCCTGAACATTGCAAGACACCACTGCCCGACTCATAAGGTCTTGGGCCAATCGGCTAATCCAGTAGAAAACTAAGAGGTGTCATGTTGATTCTGTTTGGTTGGGGAAGTGAGTGAACCATATAGTGCAACCCATCACTATATAATTTGTTGATCTCACGAGTCTTTCTCCAACACCTTCCACTTTCTGGACACCCGAACACCGGATGAACATCCCAAAACTGCTGCCCCACGTGATGCACGCAACCCCACCCCACAACTGCACTCCTTCAGCCAAAACGCCTGGGGAAGTCACCGGCGTCGTGACCGCATGCGGTCGACCACAGGATCCAGCTTCCTGGCGCCCTCACCTTGACCTTCCGCGCGGCCGGCTCGCCGGACACTGCGGGCGGAAGCGCGGGACACTGTGTGGCACTGCGGCTGGACTTGGAGATCAGCTCACAGCAGGCCGCAAGCCGTGGTAGGGTGATTGAGGGTGGATGATGCTGTTTTGGTGAATGAGGTTGAAGGCAAGATGGGGAATGAGAGAATGACCCGGGGGTCCAGGATCCGGTTTTTTCAGGGTGTTGAGGGACATTTAATGGGGATCCGCCAACACAGTTGGCGCCCTGGGCAAGTCCCATGCATCACAATCATTAAATTGATGTCCTCTCTTCTGTGGGACCATTAAGATCTTTAAGCAAGCTTAAACCCCTAAAACCACTGAACCCTCTAAACCCCTAAAACCCGAGCCCCTTGACCACTAAAACCCTTAATCCCTCAACTCTTTAAACCCCCTAAGCACCTTAATTTCTTACTAAACCTTACGGCCACAAAACAACAAAACCCCAAAACTTCCCCATTAGGTGTTGGCGCCTAAGTGGCGCAAGCCCCAAAAGTGTCGGTCAAGTGACCACATGTATCCGGCCCCCTGAAGCAGGTAGCAAGAAGCTACTAGGTGGAGGCCATCGCTATTAGGTTGGAGGCCATCGCAACCAGTAGCAAGAAGCTACTAGTAGCTATTTGCTACTAGTAGTAAGGCCAAGAGCCACTAGTAGCGTCCTTGCTTCTAGTAGCAAGACGCCCTTCCTTTGTGTCTCGGCCGTCTCCCAGGCCAGCGACGCAGCGCGCCGCTGCTTCGCCGCGCCGCTGCCGGCCGCGGCGCCGCCGCTGCTCACGGTGTCCGGGAGCGGGGTCGACCGGTCAGTGGTCCAAAGGTGGTCGTCTTCTTTCCACGAATCAACCACTTTCAAGAGTTCTGCTGAGGGGTACTGGAATTGGGTGTTTCCATGTTTCACGAGGCAAGCGCATTTCTCCCAAAGCCTCCTCCGTGGTTCTCCCTCGCCAGGACGGGCGAAGCGTCGGCCACTTGGGACGGAAGGAATTGGGAGTGGCGTTCAGCTGGGTGAAGTTCCCTGCCTTGGCTTCGCGAAATTGGGTTGTGGCACTTGTAGAATAGTCATCTCAGTAGGGGGCATGCTGCGCTGTAGCATCGAAGGAAGGAAGTAGGTTGAACAAACATCTAGAAGGCGGACTATTATGCGACCTGCGGATTTTGCACTCTTCCATGGTGCGTAGTCTTGTGAGCAGTTGCGCGGTTTGACTCGACCTCACCTTGACATGCGTGCATAATTACAACCTACTACCGATGGCCTCCCACCTATTAGCAATGGCCTCCAATCTACAGAATGAAAATAGGGGCATCATCGCCCTTCCTTCGAGCCTCCAGATTCCGCTGACGCGCTTCTCCTCCCCTGCACGGCGCCTCAGTACCCGCCAGGTTGCGAGCGCGACTGCGGGGGCGGGTCATTTCGCAGAACAGGAACCTGGTTTGCTTTAGTTCATGGCATTCCTCAGTTGCCGAAACAACTGGTTTTTTGGTGGCAGTGTTTTCGTGGTTCAATATGGTTCAATGAGCACTTAAACCAGTCGTTGTTTATTCATTGATCTTCAATGAACAGTTGACTCAGTGCATTGACTTCGTGGGAACCTTAAACACCAACTGACTCTCGTCAGCGCCGACGGTGACCACGTGACCAAGGCCCCCAACGGCATCATCTGGAAAGCGGCCCTGCCGGCAGCAGCACCCCACACCTTCAACCGGTCTCGCGGCGATGGGAAGGTCCTTAGCTCACTCGGTCGAAGAGAAGACTTACCCTCCCTCCAATCATGGAAGTGGACAATAGTTTGCTGGAACACTATTTTCCACGACCAGTGGATTGTCCACTTCCATGTTTGTTTCAACAAGTGTGTACGAATTGTTGAACCCGGATACAGAGGGCTTGCTCCATACGGGACGGTATGACCACCGTCTGTTCCGTTTGCGAGCCGGCTGACAAGCCTGTTGTCAAAAGACTTAGACGAGTATGCTTCTTGTTTCAAATAGCTTCTTGTTACTACTAGTAAGGCACTTGTTACTAGTAGCGATGCACTTGTTACTAGTAGCTTCTTGTTATTACCAGTTTGTTTCTTCACCAAGCAACACCAATCTCCACCGTCGCCTTGAGCCCGATGAATTCATGACGTGGAACCCATGGCGGAAGGGGGTTGAAACACCAGATGTGCATCCGTGGGTACCGAACGTTTGGCTTCACGGCCGCACGCGCGTTGAACGGTTTGTCCGTTTGTCCCTTGGAAATGCGAACATGAGATTCATAGGGGCTCCATGACTTTGAGAAGTTGCAGACCAAAAAGGAAGCCTCCAAGTTCTTGCTTTGAAGGTGGGAACACAGGCACCTCAAAGACGATGTTTGCTGAAGGGCCAAAACAAGAAAAGCACGGCATATTCCGCATGGAGTGGACCGGGAGGTGACCGTTCCATGGCGGAGAAGCCGGCTTCTCCCCCTGTCTTGGGTGGGCGCTGCAAATGGCAAAGGCTTGGGGACTTGGACCGAGCACCACTAGAAAATAAGAACGGTCTGTGATGAAGATGAAGATTCTGCCACCATCCGCAAAATGTTGCCTTTCTTTCAATTGGATCAATACCTTGGATGCAGCAAAACCTCTAACCATATCCAACCAGTGGGATACATGGAAGAGTTCATCTCAAGCGGTGCAACGAGGCTCTATGCGCGCCTCAGCTTTCCCTCCATGGTGCATCCCATGCGGATCCTTATCGAGGTGCCCCGCGGTTTGCGACGGTCCACGATGGATGGACATGAGAAAGCACTAGGATGCCTTGGCCCAATAGATAACGGCTGTATACGACTACGGACGAGTTACAAAATCAAGGGCGCCTTTTTCATGTCACTTGTCCTTCTACCAGTGCTGAGGGTCCACGGTATCCGACACACGTGGTGGATCTATCCTCTACCTCCGGAGGTTTCTTGGGTTTTCCAGGTGATGTGGCCTTTGAGGGGTGAACAGCTCAGAATCTCACTTCCAGTTAACCCAAACGCTGCCAGGAACTTAGGAACACAGAGGATAGTCGGCATCGTCAGGAATCACTACATTGTCTCACGGATTGAATTGGCTCAAGATTGATAAAGATAGTGCTGGCCATCGCCGCTTCGATCATTTGTTTGAGTTGTCATTCGACACATTGTTTGCATTCACATACGTGCACATCACACGCTTTCATTGGGTTCATCCTGAAACTGTTTTCTGATTTTGGGTAGCGGAGCCGGATTCGGAGCCGATTCCGCATGGGCTCGTGCCCCAAAGGACCTACATCCACGACCTCATCGATTACCAGATGGGGCATAGAGCTTCCTGGACACCAGCACCTAGATCATCGTGGCCGCCGCCTGACTACGCTTGGTGGTCCTGGCGGGCAAGTCACTGATTCCTTTGGCGTCCTTCTCAACTTTTCCTTAACACTCAACACCACCTGTACGACACCTTCTCTCTCTCTCTCTCTCTCTCTCTCTCTCTCTTCGTGGCCACGCAGGACTTCCCAAATACCGGGACCTCATCCACAGTTGGTTGCGTTTGACTTGACTTGGTGTGGAGCAAACCGGTGCAGCAATCATTGCACGTCTTGGTGAGTCCGCTTTTGACCCGGCTATGCAACCCACCATAGTCGGACGTGAGGCCCATGGAGGAGCATGTCAAGAAAGAACCTACCGCGGAGTTGAAGCAGCTTGCTTGGATGCAGCTGGGCTATGAGACTGGAGTTCTTGTTCTCCTTGGCAAGCACTACCTGGATGCTCAGGACAGAGCATGGGTCAGTCTCGACGCCTTTTTGCCTACCATCAGCTACACAACCGGGACTTCCCCGACTACGTCCAAGAATGGGAACGCTCGTGAAGCTGAGCAATATGGCAGCCGTGGAGTGTCAGAGCCTGGAAAGCATGCTTCTTCTAGAGTCAATCCGAAGTTGATGAAAAGACCCAGTTTTAACTCCAACTCAAAGGCAACGATGACTTGACACGATGGCGAGAAATGATCCAGCTCCAACGCAAACTCACAAAGAACTAACAAGCCGCCACCGACAAAAACAAAGGCTACCGCCGCTTCCTCACTAGAACTTCTGATCATTACACCCAGAGGTAGCCTACTACGACGACTATCAAGATGCGTTTTGGCGATCCACCTCCAGATGAACAGCCACAGCCTCCAAGGCTAGCTCGTAGAATAACAAATCCACAACAACACTTACACTTCCAGCTTGGGCACCTCCACAGCCACAACAACATCTCCTATGAAGACGGCAGACACAGCAATGTCTCCTGGACCACGCATGCCCACAGAGGGCTTTGAAGCCGAAGAAAACCGTGCTGGATGCAGTTTTGAAGGCTGGACGGCAAAGCGTGCCAGACAGAAGTCTGGCGGGTTGGACAAAATCGTGCCAGACGGCAATTGGAAAGCCTATTTGAGATATTTTTTGGGCAAAGCTCCACATCTGCACTGGGCACCGCCCTGCCTGGCTATAGCTAGGGCAGGGTCGGCGGATTCCAGACCTTCAACGTAGGATTGATGCACGGTGAATTTGTTGCTGTTCTGGCAGTGGCCAAGAATGCAGAAGGGACAGATCTATGAATAGTTCCGTGCACGGCGCACTTTTGTCGCTGTCACACCGCATGCCCCCTGGTACCCTCAAGCGATTGTGCGCAGCAAAGTAGGGGACGTGGTTTGAACAAATCCACATCTATCGTTCGATCACGATGGGAGTTTGGAAGCATCCGTCTTCGAACACGTCGAGGAGTTGCAACCTTGGGTGGCCATTGGAGAGGAGCCACAGTGTTTGAGGCCAGGCACCGGGAATGTCGAGGCACCGAGGTTTGCTGTGAAGTTCCTCATCTCCACTGCACATGGACTGAGACACCACAATGTTTGACAATTTTTGGTTTGAAAACAATGTGTTTTTTGGATGTGCATTGCAATATTTGGTATCAATGTCTGTGGTGATCAAGGCAAAACAATCAAGATCGTTCAAAACCAAAAGCCCACAAGAACCAAATGAATCGAGAGCTAGCACACATTGGGGTTTCGGGGGTATGGTTCCTTGTCTTTAAACCGGCCTCGCCCCCTCCATGCAAATCCGGTGAGGCGCTGCTTTACTGGAACAGCTTCGGCATACGGACAGGTGGGGTGGGGCCTCGGGTCGGGGGAGTCCCGGGCAAATGTGCACTTTTGTTGGGAAAGGCAATGGCTGCTGATCATGTTACTAGACAGGATGTGCTGCGCTTAAGGATCCCTTATAAAGGATGTGTTTTCGCACCCCTCCCGGCCATTGTCACACGGCTGCATCACCATGGTTTGCACAACTAAAGCACTGTCATGTTTCTGGAGGGTTTGAATGTTCAATCATGGAGACTCGGTTGTTTTGAAACACCACATGGTCATGACGCTTGCCCAAACCAGCAAGCGGGACAACTTCCACAACTGATCTAAAGATGTTGATTGATTTCAAGTGATGAGTTGGAATCACGTGATGCGAGTTGGAGACCTGAGAGGTATTCATATGACAACTGATGAACCTTTCAAGACATCCAAGACTGCCAACAGATCGCAAGGCCCAAGTATGAGACACACCGGTGTGTCCCCATCTTTCATCCCTCCATCCATTCAACTGCGAGTGACGTTTGCAGGTGGTACAGCGCTTGTTGCCTCCGGCCATGCCTTTCGCCATTTGGATCCTGGCCGACGTCGCCCGGTTCAGCAGCAGATGTGCCGTACGGTCGTACGGTCTGTCTGGTGGGCATCGATGGTTTTTGTTGACCAATCGTTGGAGAGTGGTTTTCCAAGGTTCATTGCTTTCTAGTTTTGCTATGGTTTTCCATCTATGGTTTCCTATGGTTTTGTTTTGGTTTCCATTGGTTTCCAATGTTCCATCTATGGTTTTCCTATTATATACTCAGTTCATTCCAATTCAATCTTTCAGAAGCAAGACCACGGCAGTTCTTATCTTTTTCAGAACCAACAGGTGACATGAAGGGACAGATTGACCAATTTGGGGTGGTATATGTGGACCATTGTTGGTGGATTCTGTTCAACCAACCAGATGACACATGAACCGTGGCAATCGGCGAGCCGGTTTTCCATATCAGGGTTTTGAGATGGACACAGCGTCACGCAAATCAGATTGCCCTTCTGCTTCTTTCAAGATGTTATTTCTGCTTCCACATATTCCTCCTTCTTGCAAGACTGGAAGAAACATCGAGAAGATCCTAGCTTCTGCCGATGGGGGAAACTTAAAGCCAGACTTTGGCAACAGTGAAAACTTAAAGCTAGCCAACTAGCTGACTAACAGCTAACAGCTCCCTTGAAGTCCGAAAAGCACCCACAAGACTCAGACTGCAGGACCACGACGGCAGTGGGATTTCGGGTGGACACTGTGCGAATTACGACTTCGAGCTCAACCTCCGTTGCTTGGCATTGACTTCGGCAGCACGCCCAGCTGGAAAGGCATTTGGATTTCACCAGATCCAAAGACCACATGATCCTTCAGAACAAGAGGTCGTCAGATGATTTCACATGGTGTGTCTCACAAGGAAGCGGATGTCCAAAGCTGTCCTTTAATGACACATCTATTGATATCTATTGTCTATATAGCTGGGCTGCAACGGAGCTTGGCGGCTAAGCTAGTTGCTCAAGTCTTTGCCACTGAGATCATGAGTTGAATGTCAGTGGCGCCCTTGTTGTATACGTGTTTTTCCTCTTGCTGAGCATTGGGTTTTTTATATCAATCTTGTTCAATAGCCGCTCCAATCGACGGTCGTTCCCTATGAAGCGGCCCCGCATGAGTGGCATGAACGTCGCAGCTTGTAAGTTTATGAATCACCAGACATTGGGACATATCCGAGTTTCGGTCCTGGAATCAGTTGTGGTTCTTGGTCTTTCTTTGTGTTTTGGACGAATGCTCTTGACCGAAGCGCTGTTTCAAGGTCCTTTGGCTTCCCAGCGCATCGCACAGGACTCGAGACTCGCGCGAAACCGCGGTGTGCGGAGGGCGCCATCTCCGGATGGAGTGACAGTCTGAGTGATCGAAACTTTGGGTCATTTTTGCTAGCGTCCTTGCTGATCGGAACAAAGGGCATCACTACTGGTAGCAAGAAGCTACTGACTAGTGGCTCCTGGCCATACTACTAGGAGCAAATAGCTACTAGTAGTGTCCTTGATACTAGTAGTAATGGCCTCCAACCTACTGGCTTCTTGTTACTAGAAGTCTGAAAGGAGGGAGAAAGGCAACGGATGGCAACGGTATCCACCATGTTTTTGGGGCTTATCATAGATGGTGCACGATGACTGCCATCACCAGTCCTTGGGTGTCAGTTTTCCCCCTCCACCAAGTTTGGGTCTTCTATATGTGTGGTATGGGACCATGTTGTGTGGCCAACGATGAGGACGCACTTTGCCATATGACCCCCTACTTTGAAGAAATTTCCCCCCCAACCAGGTCACCCGAATTCACACTTTCACGAAGGCTCCAAGGGGTCCATGGTGTCCCCCGTCCTCCGCCCGTCCAGGAGTTCTTAGGGCCTCCGGCCTGGCTCTGCGAGGGCGGCGCTTGGCCCAGACGGCTGGATGCCTGGCGAGTTGGCCAAAGGGTCCGAAGCACTGCGTGCGACGTGGTCACCTCGACTCAGTCGAGTCCAGTCATGAGCTAAATTTGACCTCTATGATAGTGGATTGTGACTTCCAGGTGGAGTAAAAGGAATCAAAACCGAAGTTCTGGGATCAGTCGAGTCCACTCGATCCTGAGGTTGAGGGGCTGGGAGGGATTTTGGAATCTGCAGATTGGAGGGTCCAACGTTTAGGTAGGAGTGGAAGACCTGTGGCAGCTGGGTAGCGGTCATACTGAGGTGAGGCTACATGTTTGGATGGTTTTGGGATTTTGGCGGGCAAGACCATGCTGGGTGTGCATCCGCCTGCACCTTCAGCCCCTCATTTTAAAGCTCACCGCACACGCGACACGCTGCTTGTGACGAACACGATGGTGGCAGAGAGTTCTGAGATGGAACACCCCTGGGCCACCGACCTCCCACTGAGGAGCAGCGCAACCAGGGAAGCCAAGTTGTAGATCCAGGGGAGCTGCTTGGTGTCAGTGGGTGGCAGTGGGTACGTAGATGAGATTGGGCTCATCACTGCAACTTCTGTTTCAAACGTCCTTTGAAAGAATCCATTGGCATGTTAAAGGACCTATTGAATAGATGATCGAACCAAGGGGTCGGGCGCGCCACTTGCGCAAGGCGGATATATACTATGATTGATATACACTATGATACTATAATATACTTTATATATATATATATGTGCCATATGATATAATTACTATGACCCTGACATTCATGTTTGATACATCCGCCTTGGAACACTCACACATCCCAGACATCCGCAGGCTCCAGGTGCTGCGCCAACGCCGCTTCGCGCTGCGCGACCTCTTCGACCTCACCCGCCCGCCGGAGCGCGGCGAGGGGGAGTCCGCCGCCGCGGCCGGTTCGTTGGGCGGGTTGCACGCACTGGAAATCCAGGTGTGGAAAGACTGGGCAAAGCGGAAGCTGAAACGATGCAGGAAACATGTAGGTGGACTAGACCCGAATTTGGGTGCGAGGCCACAGGCAAGCATACTTTTTGTCAATATGCAAGCAGCACTTATACTTTTTCGATGGAAAACATGATGTCTTTTTCACTTCGGAGTCCTATCGTCCTACAAGAGCTGCAAGAGTTATTCCGCATGCGTGCAAGTCTACCACATTGTCCCTTATCGTTATGAGTCGTTATGTCGTTCACATGCCGTCCATGACCTCGTTTTGTCGATCTCGTGTGGATTCCGACCTCTTTCCCTGTCCACCGCAGGTGACTGAACCTTCCATTTTTCGCCTCACCACACATGCGCCCACAGTGCCTGCGCGGCCGATGCTGGTGCCTGGCGGGGGTGCTCAGGAGCCTGCTTTCGTGATTCGTTGACCTTCCCCATTGAAAGGCCACAGGTTTTTAGTCTAAGGGTCACCTACCTATCCACCTCCGCCTCATGAGTTGCCATTGGACACCTTTGTTCCAACATCCATTGTACTGCTGAGTCCACTCTCACTCCTTCTTTTCCGCACGACATGTCCCTTTTTCCGGCAGAAACTGTGGGGTTGTCCGAGGTCATCGCGAGGAGGCGTGGTTGGCGCTGGCAAAGCCCCAGGAGTTCCCCACGCGACGCATCCCCGCCGCAGGTGGGGTCGCGAGGGGGTCGCGAGGTGCGGGGAACGTCGGACGGTGCCGGAAGGGGACGGTGTTGGGAAAAAAGGAAGAATTGATGGAAAGGAACATGAATTGAAGAACTATTGACTATGTTTCCAGAAGCCTGTGTGTCGTTTCATTGTTGGAAATTCTGGGTTGAAACACAGTTGGCGTATACAATGTGAATGTGAAGCGTAGTCAAATAGTGCTGCAATCGTGCGGAAAAGACTGAACCTTAGAAAATTGAGCGTTTGCCAACTCCTTCCAGAGTCGAGAATCATTAGGTCTGTAACTGAAGTTGTGCTTCTGCAGGGTGTTCTCAGTGTGTCCCTGTCATGCATCTTGATACCCAATCCTGAAAACAGTCCCATTCCACTCACATCCAGCTTTCATGCGACTCCTAACACTTCCTTTGGAGTCGGTCCTTCCCAACCTGGGTCGGTCCTTCCGAGGGAAACCGGGACATCGGTCCGGTTGCCTAGGTCCAACGGAGTCCAACGTCTTTCCACTTGGTTTGATCAACTGCAGGTCGGGAGTTTCGGCATAGCATCAGCGTGGAGTTGGCGCCGGGGGACTACACCTTGCTCTTTGTCTTGGAGATGCCCACAGGCCGCCGGTTCGCCGGTTCGCCCCGGTTGCACCCTTTCTTCCGTTGGCGGGTGGGGCGTGTGAGGTGGACGGTGTGATGGTTCAGACGCAGCGGCCGGTCCATGATGAGAGTCCATATGACTGTGGAGAGTCCATATGATCAGTTTGTTCGTCTGTGGACCTGTTTGGCCTGGTGGAGATGGGTGAGGTGAGTTCTTCAAGCTGCTTCTCTTCCAGGTCCAAACAGCCGCCTAATCGGAGAAGAGACACTCAAAAAAGGAACTTCTGGGACACAAAGGAAGGGCATCGCTACTAGCAAGAAGCTACTAGGGGCGCTCATGGCATTACTACTAGTAACAAGAAGCTAGGAACAAGGGCATCGCTACTAGTAACAAACGTAACAAACTGAAAGAACCGAAGTGTCTGAGAAATAAGCATGCTGTTTGACACTGTAGACAGGCATCCAGTGGGTGGGTGTGCGTCTAGCTGGATCACTTAGTATGCGAGTCAAATGACTCCCAGAATCAATAACTTCTTGGCGGTCTGCTTGGGAAAAATATGGAAATGGAAGAACCCCCGCGTCACCAGGAGCTTGGACAACAGGTGCAGATGAGGGTAGAAGACGAATTCAACAAGGCCTTCGGGATCCCCCAAGTCCACGAGGTCAGATGAGCCCACGGGCCCATGGGTGACCCCTGAACGGTCATTTTTTTTTGAGGTGGCTTGAGGCCTTGCGCATCGCTACTGGTGAATCTTCTCCTGGAACCTTTGGCAGCTTGGCGACTGTCAGTAGCTGTGCACAAGTGGTGAGTACATGTCAGCTAAGACTTATAGTATCGCAGTGGTCTCAATTCAAAGACGTACTTGGCTTTCCACTTGATCAAGCCTACCTATAGCTACTGTATAATCTTTTTTTGTAGGGCGATTACTGGAATTGCAAAGTAAAAAACAATTTTTGTAGTGGTCCACTCAGTTCTGTGATTTCCCTTCCTTTTTGACAGGTGTCTGACCAATTCGGGATCCCAAATCAAGGATTCTTCACAGATGGTCCGATGGTCCTCGCATGTGCTTTTTGGGCCATTACAGGGCCCTCCAAGACTCCAAGCAGGAAAGACATCCACGGAGGGGGTGCGCGAGACGAAGCACTGCCCCCGTTCGTCTCGCCACAGCGGGGTGCCGTTCGCGGCAAGGGGGCTGGTGGTAGCTGTGGCTCTGATGCTGGCAACGGAATTCTGGACTTGCAGGCGTGCCCTCGGCTAAGCGGGGTACCCAGTATCTCTTTGGGCGCAGCATGACGGGGACAGGGACTGGAGAAAGAGATCTAGAATCCTGAAAACCATCAAACAAGGAGGAGCTCATTAGAATACCCAACATGTATAATATAGGGCTTCCAAACTCCATTTGATTCAAGTGTCCACCAATTCCACTCTGCCGAACCCTCGCTCCCGAAGCTTGATGTGCACGTCGCCAGGCAATGGCTGAGCCGGTGCCACTGAGCGCTTGGCGTCCGCAACCCATGAGCTTTATGATCACACTGCCGCGGCCACCGGGCACCTTCGAAGAGGGCGTCACGAGGCTTTGTTTCACGCTCGCCGTGAGGGCGGCGAGCGTGGAGAGTGGAGTGCGGGGGTCGGGGTCGCAGTTGTGGATTTACAAGATAATATGAGATGCCCAAGTAACGCAAGAGAAGAATATCAGAATCTTTGGAACACCCTGAGCCTAAAGGGGAAGTCGCAAGCCCCACGGCCTAAGGTCTTACCTAGAAGATGAACAGCAGAGCCTGTTTGAGTGTGTGCTCAGGTAGCAGACTCTTTGGAAACAGATGTTTTGGTGGCACGCCCATCATCGTCGCTGTCGTGACCTTCCCACCTGGCGGACAATCCCCACCGCCGCCACCTGGGGCTGTCTGTTTGTAAGTTGGCCCCTTTGAGGGCAGGTGACGGTAGGTGGCTTATTGCGTGCAAGAAACTCCATCACACGCTCCACATGTCGGCACTGGCTGTTTGGGTCATGATGCCAACATCCAGCGGATCCAGCGGGTGTTCGTTTTTGGCACTGGCTGTGTGGCAGCTTGGACACCTGTCGATTCTTGTAGACCGAAGCTGACGGCTGAGGCGGGTGATGCGCAGGGCCTTCAGATCATCGCACGGTCCTCCATGAATTTGGGCGTGGCCGCCGAGGGCAATGCGCCACCCGTGGTGCTTCATGCCAAGGCCCACGGTGGCTGCAGTGGTGTGGTGTGCGGTGGCGTGGGTTGGCGTTAAGACTTTCAGACACAAAGTGGGATGTTGAACTTGTTGGATGGATTGATGTTTCAAAGACAGTCATATTTGTCATCTAAGACCGGCATGTCTCCTGCTAAGAAGTGTTCCTTCTCGCTTGTTTGGAGGTGCTGTGTTGCTTGGGGAAGAATCGGAATGCGTGCTTTGAAAGTGCCTGCAACATGTGCGGGGAAGGCCGCTGCTGTCGCGACACGTCGTGACACTGTTCTGGAATGTGTGCCTTTGAGCGCTCTTCCGTGCCCTTTCCGCTCATGAGACGCTGGCCGGCAGGTCACTTCACCCTTCTCCGCAGCGGACCTTCAGGCCAAGTGCGGCGATCTTGGGTCTTTGTTCACGGCCCATTTCTCGACTAACCCTTTGCTGCATGTCAATTTCTACTGCTTTTCGCGTGTGGCCGAGTCGAGTGAAATCATCTCCAATCTGAGTTTGCCAAGTCTTCCCCTGCTTTTTATTTAATCAACTCCATAGAGCAATTAGGTGGGGATGTCTCGCAGAGCAGCGTGGTCCACGGACAGTCGCCACGAGTGTAGGAGATTGACCTGTCACTGTTGCTTGAAAAAGGTGTGCTTGAAAACACTATCACTAGGACAAGGGACAAGTCGCTCTTGGTTGTCCCTGACACGATGTTTACTGACATGGGTGGGGGGGGAGTGGAAGTTCCTTTTTTTTTCTCTCACAATCGCTGGAGTTCTGCTATCGGTTTTGCACTCACTTTTGCTCACCTGCATTGGCACCGATCGACCGGCGAGGGCGTTTCCGCCCGGTCCAACTGGTCCGACACAGGTGACATTCTACGAGAACGGGCAGCCGTTAGGAGAGCCACAGCCACTTCCCGATGGCCGCCCGGCTGAGATGCAATGCTCGGGAAAAATCGAGAGCTTGGTGGGGCCACCATGGCCAGTGATGTCCTGTGACAGAGTCCAGCACAGTGGCGTCAATCTCTTCAGGGCTACTTAGTGTGTGCGAACTTAAGCTGAATACTTGCAGCATGTTGCATCAACAATCAATGGTCGCTGTCATGTTCATGATGCAAAACTGAGTTGGTCACGTTGCAGCGTGTAGACAATTCTTGCTTACACCAAGGTTCCGTTCATAGACACTATCAACAGCATCCTGTAAAGAGCTCCAGACTCCATCAGACATGATTTCCTCAGACTCCATCTCAGGCAATGGCTATACCGCCATGGCTGGCCCGGCGAAGAAAGAGAGCTTCTACGAGGCGGGAACTTCCTCCGGTGCCGAGGACTCGCGGTGCGAAGGACCCGCGGCGCGAAGTCCGGGCGATGTCATGTGGTTCCAGAGGATTCTGGTCCTATCGAATAGGCCTAGGTTCGGAACGCGAGCAAAAGGTTGACAGGTACAAACATAGGTGAGTTCAATGCTGGAAGCCACAAAAATAACTGCCTGCAGAGGAACATTGACCATGCAAACACGCCCTGATTGACACATCAGAACGCCCACCTGTTGCCTCGAAGAAGGTCCATCTCAATCCGTCGAGAATGTGATTGCATTTGACCATGATCTATGTGACGGGTACACCTGGAGTCACTTTGCCTGTTAACCATCACAATACTCTAAATCCTCTGGCGAAGGTTTCACTTTAACTTGAGGTGTTTGATCAAGTCAAAACGATCCAGATGCCCTGGAATAGGATGCCCTGGACTCACCCTCGCCGAACTCCACGTGCCACGGCATCGCGGAAAAAAGGTGGTGCTCTTCCACGTGCCACGGCATCACTCCAGTAGGACTCGACGGAGTCGAACTGCTGCCGTGGTGCCTGGCTTTGGGTTGTGCTTGTGGCCATCATTGGAGGTTGCTGTGATGGTAGCAATTCTTCGCAGCAACAACAACAACGTCCACCCCCCTTTTGGTACTAATTAAGGAAACCAAGCACCTGCCAAACTGATTCATGGAGAATATTCTTAGCAAGAAGCCTTGGTATTCAAGTGTAAATAGACGTTGCAGCCAGGCAACAGCAGTATGTAGCCGCCCATTCCGTCAATGCTGACCAAGCTCAAATTGGAAGGCAAATCTGGAGATAGGCTGAGTTGTAGGTGTTAAAAGAAGGAGAAAAACTAAAACTGAACCCAACCCTCGCATCGGAATCATCGTAGGACAATGATAGCAACAGTGAGCAACAGTGACGACGCATCTGCAGACTCAGACATTTCCATGGCCATGTTTAATTCATAGTCCATCGCATTTGCATTCTCCCATAACAACTTGAGCTGCCAGCCTAAAATATCTTGGACCCTCGTAGGTGGCTTTGAGGTGTTCTTTTCCGTCCGCCTTCGGAAGGGACGACCGGGTTCCGGCGCACCACCTTCCACATGGCGACCCACATGGCTTTTCCGGGCAGCCGGTCGTGAGTGTTCCGCCCAGCTGCCGTCGGAGGACCACGTGCGTGGAGTTCAACGTGGAGTTGGCTGCCTTGAGTTTGACGCCGCCCACAGTGCAGGGGCAATTCATCGCTCCTTTGCCAGGCAGTCTTGACCTCCGGTTGGGATGAGAATCGACAGTTTCAAGGGAGGAGGATAGACTTTTGGGTCGAAGGAGAGATATTCGTGAGGTCGCAACTGTTCTTTGCCCCAGGTCGCCAGGCACTTTGATTGAAGTGGGAAGTGTTTCCAAGCACTGGTCCAAGACGCTTTGTTGAGGCTGTACCAAGGCAACGGAGAAAAACCAGGACATCAAGGTGGTCATGTGGGACTACAAGTCGTGCAGGTTTGTGTGGCGAGAATTCTTGGATGTCCTGTACATACATGTTTGATCTACTAGGAATGAGCAAAGCAAACATTGCCCATTTGCAGGGACCACTCATCACTTCCATTGATTGGATTGTTGCAACAAGTATGTTTCACCAGGTTCACGTTACAAATCCTACAACAACGTTTTCCTCCGCAGATTTGGGCCGTTTGAGGTCAACAAAGGGTCACCTCTTATGGCGTTTACCTAGTGCATGCCCAGCGTGGCGCCGGCCGGCGCACGCGCGCGCGGCGCGGACGCCTTCTCCGATTTGCGCGACGATCCTCAGACGGCGGCGCTCGCCGTGCTGGACCGCGAGCCAAACGTCCACGGAGCTGGACGAGTGCTGGTCGTGGCGTGCGTGATGGCCGCCCAGGGATGCTTCTTGGGCAGCTTGTGGGAAGAAGCGTTAGAGCGACCCATCTCTTATCAGCTTCTCTGTGGACCTGGCGTGCACTTCGTGGCATCGATGGTTTTCATTGGATTGATGCAAATGGAGTTGTGGCAATGTGGACACCTCTTCCTCGCCGTGAGCAGCAGTCGATGCAAATGCACGGCTTTTCTCTTCTTGTTGGTTCCGAAGCTGGGCCTCGCGTGCGCGGAGATGCTGATGGGTTTGCCCTTCCTTTGGCGTGCCCAAGGGGCCTCGGAGTTGGTCTTGAACCTGCTCCTGTTGACCTTCGTGGCGCGCCTCGATGACCATGTGCTGAATGCGGGCGTCTTTAAACCGGATCCGGCGATTGGGAGTGCCTTCCTGGATCAAGTGACGAAGGAGAAGAGGAGCAGCCGGAGATATTGCAATGGCTTTATGACTCTGCTTGGCTGCACTCTCTTCATTCCCTCTCTAGTGAGCTTGTACAATGTGTGCTCCTAAGGAGCTGTACTACACAGCTGAGCTTGGCGAGGGACAAGAGGAGCGACGGTGACAGGGTGACATCATGAGGAGAAGTGAATTGACGTTGTTTGTGGATAGAGATAGACGAGAGAATCCCTCTCAGGATGTAGTGGAAATCGAGGTACTATCTATTGTGAACCCTTGGAGAAGGATATTGGATGATATTGGAATAGCTCAGGGGCCTTTTACAAAGTCATGGCCACATGATGTTTCGGTTCGACGCCCTGGATCACCGGAACGGACGAAAAATGGGTTGCCTTCGGTTTCTGCGGCCGGGTTCAACAATAGTGCTGATGGATCAATCCCTTCACAGCCTGGATGATACAATAATGGAATCTGCTAGCGTTCAACAAATAGTGGATGTAGCCTCATCATGCATCACCTCAGGTGCTGTGGACCTCGCAATGTTCTTCGCGAAAAAAAACAACAACAAGTGTCGCCATGCTGTGTCAAGCTCCAACGAGGTGGAACTTAGGAACTGGTCCTGTCTTCTTTTTGGAAACCGCTCAAGTCCCAGCAGGTCATGCGAACGCTTGGAGGAACGCAGAAGGGCTCGTTCCTCACTTCGCTTCCCAAAAAGATGGCTCTTGAACCACGTTCACGGTGGTATTCCCTTTCCACCCACCAAGTCGATGCACCACATCGATGCACCTGGAGATCTCCACATCGCCTGGGTCTCGTCCCAGGCGCCGAGACCTGCTGGCAGCAGGAGCAGCTTCCGAACATCCTCCGGGTGCGTGCCTTCGGCCGGGGCGGCCGTTGGGCGAGCTGAAGCGGCCGCGCCAGTGGCGGAAGTCAGGGTTTTTTTGGGGGGAGGGGTTGGTTTGCACGGGTGTGTTTTGGATGTTTTTTGGTAGGGTGAAGAGATGCACCATGCACCCTACAAAGCATTAGAGCACCTAAGAGTGTTCTTGGTACATTCCGATGGAGCCAAAGTTTCCCACCACAACCAGAAGCACCATGGCAGGTCTCACAAATCCAGAACAGGTCGCGCAAGCCCAACGCAGCTTTTCTACGACTGCAGCAAGGTATAAAATGCCTAGCATTCGTCCCCCTTAGGACTCTTCAGGGCTTTGCAGCCGCAAATGCTGCGGTGTTCAATCTCATGCCTAGGCATCGCGTGTTCAATAATCTAGGCAAGTGCATGCAAGCGCAAACTGGACATGGAAAAATATATAATTGCCAGTCTTGGAGATTTGGCTGGTTGCCTGTTACCAGAAGCTCAAAAAGCTCGTGGTTGTGAAGAAGCACCCTTGAAAATCCAGCCAGAATCTGCATTCCCATGACTTCCAAGGAAAAGCCGTGTCAGCTTGGGACGTTTGGACGGACGGTGTGTTCTGAGGCGAGGGCGAGCCGACCTTGTTGGAGGGCCAGTACCAGCTGCCCAGTAGCGGGAGCCACACCATCCAAGTGGTGTCGGCCTCCCATGTGTGCCTCGTCCTTTCGGTTTGCTGTTTGGGGGGTAGGAATGTCTTCGGTTTGCTGTTTGTGTGCATCTCTACTCCAGGGCCACTCGCCCCAGGATGTCATGAAAACAAAACCAGCGCATTGGGTGTCCCTGTGAGCGTTGGACCCAAGGCTTTTGCGGGCGACGGTCACCTCCGCGGATGCAGACGTGCGGGTGGGGCAGGAGCGCGTCACTAGCTCTGAGTAGCTCTTTGGAGCTCACCTTGTTTGAGCAAATGTTATGGCTATGTATTGAACTAGGGAGACCTCCCATGGAATAGACCAAAGCCCATTTTTGGGGGGCCATATCAAGTCTCCCGAATTTCGCTAGGAGCTACTTTGTGAGATACAGAATTGCAGGAGAAACCAGACTGGTCAAAAGATGCCGTCAGGAGCCTTTGCAGTTGATTGGCCTGACCGAAGATCACTTCTTCCACTTTGGTGCTCCCTCCATGTGTGTTGTTCGTATTTCGGGCCTGGCTGAGCTGACGAGACGTCAGCGCCACAGTCGCCGGCTTGGGGGGCCATTGAGATGCGGCGAGGTTCTTGCAAAGCTCTTGGAGCTGTTCACGTGAAAACCCCTTCTTCACCCTTCATGTTGCCACCACAACAACCTCCACAGGTGTTTCTTGTTTTCTCCGGAGGTCAAGAGCTTCCACAAGCCTGAGTAACAATAGACCCAAGCAAGACTGTCTTCTTTGGTTCATGGTTTTTTCCGATCTTAAACATATTTTTGTTGGTCGCAATCGACAGGCAACCAATAAAGGGGACCATACACTCTGCAACCCAATGTCCGACCCAATGGCACGCTTGCATGCTGTGCATGGACCATATCCATGAAGACCAAACGAACGACTCCTTTCTAGGGTTCTGCGAATCTCTTACTCATACGACCTCATGCCCTATACCCTCCACTTATTTTATACCCCATTGAAATCAAGTGCTGCACCACATTGCACTGTCACGTTTTTTGTGTGTTTTCTCCCACCTCCCCTCCTGCTACAGGCCAAGTCTTTGAATTTTCGCTATCTAATGCTATTCAGGCCAAACAGTTTTTTGAGGGGGGATGTTATGATCAAGAGCTCAGCATTCAGGGGCTAGCCCACTTACCCGTCAGCCCGCCCATAATTAAACTGACCAGCGCCGCAAGCGTCGTCCATTTTGTTATTTAGTGCACACGAGCATTGTAACGTTCATCCCCATATGTCATCTAAATCTTACTCTGTGCCTCCTCATGGCAGCATTTGCATCACCGTGAAAGGCAAACAAGTGACTCCGCTTGGTCAACAGAAAAAAGGCCACTCCCATGGCACTAGTAGTAAGGCACTTGTTACTACTAGCTTCTTGTTACTACTAGTAAGGCACTTGTTACTAGTAACTAGTAGCGATGCACTTGTTACTAGTAGCATGTTCTGCTTACAACGCAATCACGTTGACTAGGGATTTACCTGGAATCGCCCAGAAACCCTTCGCCAGGTCCTCCGCTGAGCATTGCGCTCCGCACCGACGTGGGCGACGCGGACGTGGAGCGCGTTTGCCCGACGCTGCGACTGCAGCTGGTCGCCCTGCACGAGGCTCAGAAGAGGAAGGCGGTTGGAGTCCAGTTGGAGCCGCACCATGGCCCGGAAATCTGACGGCTGAAGTGCTTCGATCAAGCCAAAGAACATGCGGCCCGTGCCAGTGTCCAGTGAGGCTGGTCAACATAGATGCAAGTTCACAAACAAAAGGCCCAAGCCAGATCTACTACGAATGGTTCGAGGATATCAGGCGACTTGAGATTGTGAAATCCCGCCATCCTCCAGAGCTCACATAACTCCCAGACCCCTCGAGTCGAGTGGCAGAGATCGCGCAGACCCCTAGATCATTGTCAAAATTGCATATGTACACTCTTTCAACATCCTGTTGGTTGTAGTTACCTTTCAAACCACTCAAAGTATCCCAAAACCACTCAAACGATACATGATGAAGTTCTGAGATCTTCCGATTCCCCCCAAAAAACGCGGCTGGGGTGTGTGCTTTGTGCTCCACACCGGAGACCTCGTCCCAAGTCGGCTTGCCAAGGCCACAGTCCAGCGCGGCCGAGTGCCAGACCTCTGGGAGCCTGCAGGCGACTTCCACGGCTGGGAGACTTCACACGAGACAGAAAGACCCAAGAGACAGACACTCCGAGACCCACAGATGGGAGATGAGGTAGAGCCCATGAGCTCCATGGGACCCGGAGTTTGGGGTCCTCGCTCAGCGTTCGTCCCACTTTTTTGGGGAGGTCCTGCCGGTGATTGGTAGAGACATTTTGTCGTCTCACAGCCGGTACCAAAGAAAGTCTTTCAGCATTTGCATCACCGAATCCCGTGGATCAGTTGCTTCCTCATGTCAAGCTTAAGACTAATATCTTCAAAGAAGTCGCCTTCGGAATGCTCAACACTGAAGGTGACTTCAAGAATCCTCAAAAATTTGAATGAAAGCCATTGAAAGCCCATACTTGGTGGTCAATTCTTCGAGTTCCATCCCCAAATCTTCCCCACACCCATCACGTCCGACCCACAAACCACACCGGTCACCAGTCGGTGTTGCGAGGCCCTGGGCCGGAGCTTCACGGAGGCGCTGGTCGAGCAGCCGTCGGAGAGCGCGTCGCTGCGGCGCCTCGCCACGCTACTGGAGCCCACCGACGAGGTGCGGAGGGGCGGCGACGGGGAAGCGATGGTGGGAGGTGATGTGTTTCTGTGTGTATTTTCTTGGGGTGGCCCCCATGCCACGAAACGCACTGCCTGAAAAGGCCTCTCATGCCCTCACTGCACGGATGTGCGCTTTGACTCGCCCGCTGCAGGTCCGGTCAAGTTTGGGGTACTCGGGGCAGCGTCCGGTGAACCCCCCGGCCCCTTTGGTGGTTTTCTGATCATTTGTTGACCAAGTCTGACCAAACTCCAACGCAAAAGGGACCCCCCGACCCAGTGGATTCCCTTCCATTGAGTGTTGTTTCCTGAAGGAAGGACAGTGCTTGCCATATATGTTTTTCCTGGGTTAACATGTGTTAACCGCCTTCCAATCAGTGACAAATCTTCTGCCGTGCAAATCGAGCCAGGTCTACTTCCTCTACTTTCGATTCTGAAAGGTCACTCCGATCTCAAAAGATGTCACTAAACCCTTCTTGGTCAGTGGTCCTTGCATGTCATTCACACCTTTCACTCCTCTTGGTTTGAAGACCTTTATCGGCGCCCTTCGAAAGCAACGAAACCCCCTCGCACCGCGGACCCACCCACGGCGCCACCGGGAGGCGGCCACGGTGCCGTTCCGCGTGGCCAGCGTCTCCGCGGAGCTGCGGATCGAACTGAGCCTGGAGGTCGGGAGGGAGGGAGGCCCTCCGGGCGGGGGTAGGTTGGACATGGACATGAGCTGTGAATGAGAGGAAAATCCTGGGCACATCGCCTGGAAGCATTCGGTCGTGGTTTTTATCCGGTTCCGAGTGAAGACGCAAGCTGCAGTGCAGTTTTATCAGTACGGCGGAGTTTTATGTTTGGAATCAAAATTCCACGGTCAATCCTTCGGACGGATCCTTGGGAAGGAAGGAAGGACCTCCGGAGAGACTTCGCCCCACATCGGCCATATGTCAACGTAGTAGCTGCGTTTCTCCAGTGGTTGGGTGCTGAAAAAAGTTGTGCCTTGAACAAACTGCAGTTTTTCATTCTGGCTGGTGTTTGGCTGCTCATCTCCTGTGTATTTCGACTATCCAGGTATTGGTTGTGTTTTCTCGATCTTCTCGTATCTCAGGTGCTGCAGCCCACGTTCCATCATCCGTTGACATGCCGGGTTTGGAGGAACAAAGAACGGAAGGCTATCACACTCTGACTCTGTGCGTCTTCTCCCCTTTCTCGTATCTCAGGGACGAGTACCATCAGATGTGGTCGATCGATGTCGATCGGGCTGTTTGACGAATGACCATCGATGGTCATCCAGGTGTGCTGCAATCTCCCACAGAGGGCGCAGTGGTTTTGTGGATGCTTGATCCAAGTTGGGATCTATTCGGCCAAGTGGAGTTTGGAGTCCATTGACCAATGTTTGTGGTTCTTCTGAGATCGATTTGGAGCCCCTTTTCCCCGCTTGCAGCATACGCCGGTCTCGGCCGCCCGTTTGAATTACGTGTGGCCGAGACCATCGCGCATATGGCCTTTGCAGGCACCGTGGTTGCCACTGGAGATGGTCTTGCTGCGGGAGGGCCAGCAGGAGGGAATGACCGCCAAGGCGGATATGAGCTTCGGAAGTGAAGAAGGGAAGGTTGAAAAGAAGTGAAGAAGTCAACGTCATTGAATAATTAGGTCGTCCAGGGGGATCCGGCACTTCTCAGTTGGTGACTTGTGATACCAATTCTTTTGCGAGATGATACGATGATGCCTTGAATGTATATACAAGTTGTTATCACGTTCCTTCGAGGTAGAC